GTTAAAAGACATTCTCTCCCATAGCACACAATAGACCAAGTCCTCAGAAGGGTCCTTTTCCATACTATTAAAAGGAGTCTGGGCTATAAAGTGTCACCTCCTTGGAGAAACAACCAGCCCAGAGTGGGAGGATGGCATGGTTAAGACAAGATCCACAAATACCTGTTACTGTGGTCGTGTCCCATGTTGTCCATGGATACCTCCAGGAAACACATCTCTGCAATGTGAGGTATCTCTTGCAATAGGGTCAAACCTAGTATTTCTACAAAACACCAAAATGGGTGCCAGGACTCTCACGTAAAGGGGATTGGTCTCTGCCTGTAAAATATTTCTCATTTTGATTTAGAAAAGACCAATGTTTACCAAAACTGACCATAAAATATATTCTGCTATTGCTAAAAAGGATCTCACAAACATCTCGCTGAGAGCACACGGTTTTTCCCCCACCTACAGATATGTAATTTGCAATGTGAATGCAAACCTGTGAGAAACTATGAAAGCAGGCATTTTCTAGAGCATTTCACAAAACACGCAGGAGCAAAGTTCAGAGCCTAATTATGTACATGTTAATCTGATAAAAATAAAACCCGTGTCCATCAACAAACTTGGGAGTGTCATTGCCAGGGGTACAGACTGGGAGTTACCCTGGCCACATGCTGCATGTCAGAAGAAATATGCTCTGAAGTGCACACATTTAAAAAAGATTTCAGCCTTAGTTAGAATCGTGTTTAAGGGATTCAGCACCTTCTCTGAAGAAAATGTACTTTAACGAGGATGCCTGCAAGTCATTTAGGAACTAATAAAAATATCTTGCAGAGGAGGAGCAGTGATACATGCATCACTGTTACAAAGATATGATAAAGCCTACAATGAAATCAGCCCCATAATTAGGATAACTTTCAAATACCAAAAATATTAGAGAAATCAAATAGAAGAGGCTTCCCCGGAAACACCATTAAACTGCTCCCTGAAGCACCACAGGCAGGTTTGGGGTTTTTTTTAATCCAACTGAAAAAAACTCTGTACTTGCTTCAGATAGTCATTCTCACCTCCCTGAAATAAATTCCACAAACACAATGTGACCAAGCGACAGTCCCTCTAACCTCACAAGACACGGGACCCTGCCACAGTCACCGACAACAACCCACAGGCTAAATAGTACAAGTTGAAGCAGTTTACAATGATATGTGAGTTTAGACATATCTGTACTGGAGCCCAACAGGTTGAGGGGAAAGAATGACAGTGGCACACAGGGTCTCACTACTTTCTCAGCACGGTCCCCCACCATTTTTTGCATTTGAGTATCACCACAAGTACCTCTGAAATGGCAGAAAGCAGGGCCCATCCTCTCAGTCAAAGGGGAACCTGAGCCTTTACAGGCAGCAAACGCAGTCTTGGGGCTCTTCTGTGAATGGACATAAGACCCTTTTGAATGCTACTCATTAGCATTGTGGCTGGCATGAACTGTTCTTCTGTGCCCCAGCTGATGAACACGAGCACTGTTGCCAAGTCTGCTGATAAAATAAAAAAGGATAGGAAAAGCCTTATGGTTTTTGAAAGGGCCAACAGAAACTCAGTGTTCAAGGCAGCAAACACAATTTGCAGTAACAAACAGATTCAAGCCCAAGAGCAGCTCAGTGGTGATATTCAACCCAATTTTTCCCTTAAACATCTGCTTTTAACAGCAAAGAAATTGATAGCACTAAAGGCAACTAGGATCAAGCTGATGGGGAATGCTGCAAACTTCTCCAAACAGACTTCCTCATTTGCTTCATTTATCACCTACAGCCCTCAGCTCTTCCAGTTCCAGGCATGCTCCCCTCCACCTCGATTCTGCGAGCGGGACTAATTTTCATCAGAGACAAGGCAGGAGACTAACTGCAGTACACATTTCATTTGTGAAGGGACCCCACGAGAGGAGGAGGGGGAAGATAGCTCTTTGCTTGCTCTGCCACCTAAACAGTTTGTTAGTGTAGAAATAAGTACAATGACAGCAAACTGATGCCTAAGAAGCAGAACCCATTAACCTAACATCCACCACAGTTCATACTCACCACCGTTTATACGCACCATTAATATTTATAAGGATGACGTGCCTCTTTGACAGGAACTTGTGCCTCCGACGACAACAGATGTTATACCATTTATGAAAGAAACTACTCAAGCATTTCCAATGGACCTTGTCCATGCTCAACATGTCTTTATCCCATGCTCTGATTATATTAGCCACGGAGAGCCTGGGTGACCTACTGACTCAAGCCCAGGAACATGGATGGCAGCACACTTGCCTGTAGAGTCCTTAAAACTTTCTGGAGTTGCATTATCTCTTTGTGGGTGTTCTTCTGGGAGCCGGAGACCTTTCAAATGCACCTGATAGCTCAAACAGAAGTGTGTGAGATATTATGTGGCAGACTCCCCCATCTCATGAGGATTTGCCACTTACCTGGGCCTCCAAAACGCATGGCAGGTAGCCAAGGCTACAATATTGTCTCCCGCAGTTGCCTTTGCCACTGTCACCACAGCTGAATTAGTGATCATACATGACCAACAAAGAATTAAAACCTGTTATTATATGCTGCATTATACTGCTCTATGCACGGACTTGCAGGAGAACACATGCAGCAAGGCACTGATCCCATCATCTCTGCTAAAACTATGCTGCTCCTTGGCTAAACTGTAATTTACATCACATGTGGGAGCACCAGCCTCTGGCAGGACAGAGCTCCCTGCTCTAGCAAAGGTTAAACTCCCACCCTCCATTGAGGAGAAATCAGTGCCCGTACACCTCCCCATCAGCAGACAGCAGATTGGCTTTAACGTGGAAAGAACAATATGGATAAGTTGATGGGTTTACCGAAATCTCCTTCAGGAACCACCATGCATGGGCAAGCAATGAGGTGTTAGACAAGGTATCTAAGTAACATTTTCTTTTACTAGATTGCAGTTGACATTTCCATTAAAATGCATGAGGTTATCATGAATCACTTCACCTAATGTGACGGAACTTGCTTAAAGTGGCGCAGAAATGTCAGATTATCCCTGTGGGCTAGAGCAGACAGCCTGCAGTGACTTCCTCCTCCAGAACAGCAGCTCTAGTAATGTCCTGATATTTATGGCACATACATTTTTATATGCCCAGCACAAACAGCTCCAGCATTTGTCAACTCATTTGACCTACAGCTTTTCAAAGAAAACACAAGGAGACATGCTGCAGATCAAGAGCTAGCAACGTGTAAAATACCTTGCCATCAGCACCCACCAAGTCAAAACAGAAATAGGATGTTAAGCCATGGCCAGCTCTCTCTGGCCATTCTTGGCCAAGATTTGCTAGCCTGCTGCTGGAGTGCACCCAGAAGTCCTCACCCTGTGCCTGCGGCTTCTTTGCTCAAAAACATGCAGATCTGAGGCTTGTGAGGAATCATTGCTGTTCAGCAGCCGCCAGAGTTTTATCACCCAAGTCCTGACACATTTGAACCAGGACTGAGGTGAATTCGGGAGCTCCTCCACGTTTTCCTAGATTAACGCTACAGCATGTCTAACCTAAGTTAGCGCTGAAACACAACCGATACAAACAACTGCAGTAAAGAGGCCTGACAGATTTGGGGACTGCATCTGCAGCCACAGCAGTGCAATGTTTCTTGTGTAAATCAGCAGAATTCACACCAGTGTAAAACCCACTGTTTGAACATCTCTGATTACACGTGCTAGGAAAAGCTAAGCTGTCTCTGAAGAGAAAACAAGCTCACAAACTCCTGGGGTTCATCTTTTACCACGTGATTACATACATTCAGTGTGCTAAGTGCACATTTTATAAACATCTGCGTGTGTGTATTTGTGTGGTTTTGTACATGTCTGCTGACCTCATGTGCCTAGTTCTGGTTCAGAACAAAGATGGCTCCTTCAAAATCATGACACCCATTACTTCGCTGTAGTCTGCACCTATACAATTGTCTTTTTTCCCCTCCTATTTAGGCTAACTATGAATAAACTATACATAAAATGCAATCACAAGTGTCTCTACTCACTTAAAGACAAAAATGTTACATACCTGGCCTGGCCTAAGCATCATTGCTGCTTACTCTGCGTTAATGGTAACAACGAAAAGGGCGAGCCAGTCTCCGCATTGCGTTACATGGAGCGTTGGGTGCATCAGAAACAGGAGGACAGATTTAGTCATCCAGGCCTAGGTACATCCCACTGTGCTCCTGCCCGGTGCAAGGAAATGTGTCACCTGCTAAGCAAACTCTTTGGCAAAATTCAAGCATTGTTGCTTTAAAATAAAAGGAAGAAACATAACAAAAGCACCTTTCTGAAAATAAAATCTCCTGTCCATTGCAATACAAAAAGCAGAGTGGTCTGATCTTAGGTCTCAGCCAAGATATCCCACGTGCTAGCTTTATCTCTGATGTGCTCCTCTGCGATGGCCACAAGAAGATGGTGCTGAACATCTGTATCCTGGTTTGCCCCTTTATCAGACAGGGATTAGCGTATTGCAGGCACAGATGTTTATACGGTGCTTTAAAGATTACAAGTGGCATTAAGGAATAGTAGGACTAAGAGCTACGCCAGCCTTTCTCAGAGTACATGCCATTACCCACTGGACCACGCCGGATGAGTCAGACACCAACCTACAGATATGGAACAATAAGAAGTAACAGAGCCAGGGGACCCAGGGCTCTCTGTGCAGCTGTGGGCGCACCAGCTCACACCGGACCTCTCGACAAAGAAAACCTCAGCACCCCTAAAACCAGAGGGTTTTCCCTAGGCTTTTGAATAGCAAAACAAACCGGGAGTATGCTGGAGCAGGAGGGGAGCTATACTGGACACGTACAGGGAGGCAAGTGTGCAGCTCCGCGCCGGCAATGCCCATTCAAGCAGGGGGACACATCTCCCATGTCCTCGGGCGGTAAAAATATGACATGCATTAGCGAGGAGAATAAAAGGAGGGAAACAAAGAAGCGGGAGCAAACACCTGTCGCTCTCCTCGGGGACGAGCCCTAATGCTTTTATTTGCCTTAGTCTGCCGGGGGAACTGCAGCTGCCAACTGTCATCAGCATCAAGTTACCCGCACAAAGCTAGCCTGCCCGGCTCTTTCAGCCGAGGGAGGCGGAGGGCTGCGACGCGCCCAGGGACGGCACCGAGCATTCGGGGCCCAGGGCCCCGCGGCGTGAGCAGCCCCCCCCGGGCTGGGGAAGGGCTGCACGGCCTCGTCTCGGCCGACCGCCCAACAGCGGCGGCGCGTGAACGCGGCCCGAAACGAGCGCCTCGCCCCGGGCAGGCAACCGAACCCCGCACGGTCGCGAGAGGGCCCGGCTTAAAAGCCTCCCCGTCCATTTGGACGGGGGCAGGACAAGACGACCAGATCCGTCGTCAGTTGTGCGTGCTCGGGCCCAGCCATTTCGCGCTCCGCGCTCAAATCGGCCTCTTTCACGCCCGGGTCGTCGCCGACACCCGGCTGGCCCTGCCACAGCCGCAACCGCAGGCGCTGCCGGCAGCGAGAGGCACCGACGACCCTGAACTCGTGCTCCGGCTGACGAACGAAGCGCGCTCGCCGCCCCCCCCCCGCCCCCCGCCTTTTCCCAAGGCTTTTGAACCCACAAGCGGTGGAGGGGTGGGATTTGGGGCGGTTTTACTGAAGGTGACGGACGTGCCCCCGAGGCCGCAGCGGGCGCTGCCACGCTGCAGGCGGGGGGCCACGTCGCCTCCCCAGCCCCCCCCGGGCCCTGCCACCCTCCGCGC